TGTCCCGTAGCGCCCAGGGATGTGCGGGTTAGGGTGGATTGGCCGTGTTAAATTGTCCCGTAGCGCCCAGGGATGTGCGGGTTAGGGTGGATTGGCCGTGCTAAATTGTCCCATAGCGCCCAGGGATGTGCGGGTTAGGGTGGATTGGCCGTGTTAAATTGTCCCATAGTGCCCAGGGATGTGCGGGTTAGGGTGGGTTAGCCAAGGGAAGTGCAGGGTTTGCAGGGATAGGGTAGGGGCAGTGGGTCTAAGTGGGATGCTTTTCAGAGGGTCGGTTGGACTCAATGGGCTCTAATCAATCTTGTGCCTGAGTCAGGATGGGGAAGAGCTCGGAGGGGAACTTGCAGGGGCTGGTGTTCTCCTGTATCTGCTGCCCCTTGTCCTTCGAGATGGAAGTGGTCCTGCGTGACTAAGGATCTTCGGTGAGTTGCTGCAGTGCATCTTGTAGGTGGTACACACTGCTGCGACTGAGCCTGAGCGGTGGAGGGAATGGATGCTTGTGGATGTTTGGGTGAAGGGGGCTGGGGAGGCGAGAGCTAGAAGTGGGGGAGGTGGTGATTTGGATTGTTGCTTGTACCTCCGCTGAGCAGGTAGTCTCTGAGAATGGGCAGGCAGAAGAGTCCAGACAGCGTGGCGAGATGAGGGGTGATGCCAGGGAAGACTCTCGAGAAGCCGGTTGCCTCTGTGCAGAAGTTACAGAAAGCGCCAACACACATTATCCCATGTGGGTGCGAGCCGAAAACATAGTTCCTCTTGGGGTCCAGCTCTGCCATTTTCACGATCTGAAAGCAAAAAAGGGGAGCAATGGTCAACAAATTTGATGGAGAGGCGCCACCTCTCGCAGACTTCCTGAGTTGCCTTCCAGCAACCTCGTACATCTGAGTCATTACAAGTTGCCACACTTGGCATATTGAAATATTCGTTCGAATATTTACAGAACCCTCCACCATCCCTGCTGCCCTCCAATTCTGACCTATCATCCAGCACGGAAACAGACCCTTTGATCCAACTCGTCTGTGCCGACCAGCTATACTAAACTAATCCAGTCCCATTTGCCAGCATTTGGCCCATATCCCTCCAAACACTTCCTATTCATATACTCATCCAGTTGCCCCTTAAATGCTGTAATTGTACCAGCCTCCACCACTTCCTCTGGCAGCTCGTTCCATACACGCACCACCCTCTGCGTGGAAAAAGTTGCCCCTCAGGTCAATTTTTAAATTTTCCCCTCTCACCTTAAACCTATGGCCTCGAGTTTAGGATTCCCCTACCCTGGGGGGGAAGACCTTGTCTATTCACCCTATCCGTGCCCCTCATGATCTTCTAAACTTCTTTAAGGTCACCCCTCAGCCTCTGACGCTGGGGGCTACGTTCCCCAGCCTATTCAAGCCTCTCCCTATCACTGAAACATTCAAGAGGGGCATTGGGGATTTGGGTAGAGATGGGGGGAAAGGCAGGAGATTAAGCACTGAGTCAAAATGCTGCAGGAACAGACTCGATGGGCTGAATGGCTTCCTTTGGCACTGTGCTTTCCAAAAACTGCATTCAGCCACTCCAAAAGTATGCTATTGATCTCGTTGGATTTAGAGACTGTCTGAATGCAAATCTGTCCTTTGACGTAAGCGGTCATTAACCACCAAAGATCTGGTAGACCATTTAGCCCTTCCTAAACTGAGTAAAGGTCTCTATTTATCAGCCCTGTTGTAAATTGCACACTCTGCAGTTTCATAATCGAGGGACTGATAAGTTCCAATTGATAAGTTATTTTATCTTGTTTTTATTTAAGTGTGGCTGGCTGAGCCCAGCATTTATTGCCTGTCCTTAACTGCCCCTTGAGAAGGTGGGGGTGAGCTGCCTTCTTGAACCATTGCAGTCTGTGTGGTGTAGGGACACCCCATTCAGGGAGGAGGGTGGATGGAGTTCCAGGATTTTGACCCAAGGATACTGAAGGGGCAGCCGATATATTTCCAAGTCAGGATGGGGAGTGGCTCAGAGGGGAACGTGCAGGGGGATGGTGTTCCCATGTATCTGCTGCCCTTGTCCTTCTAGATGGAAGTGATCGTGGGTTTGGAAGGTGCTGTCTGAGGATCTTTGGTGAATTTCTGCAGTGCATCTTATAGATGGTACACACTGCTGCTACTGTGCGTCGGTGGGGGAGGGAGTGGGGTGTTTGTGGATGGAGTGTTCATCGAGTGGGGGCTGCTTTGTCCTGGATGGTGTCGAGCTTCTTGAGTGTTGTTGGAGCTGCCCCCATCCAAGCGAGTGGGAAGTATTCCCTCACACTCCTGAGTTGTGCCTTGTCGATGATGGGACAGGCTTTGGGGAGTCAGGAGGTGAGTTACTTGCTGCAAGATTCACAGCCTCTGACCTGATCTGAGAGTCAGACAGATGTCCAGCACAGAAACAGACCCTTCGGTCCAACTTGTCCATGCCGATCAGGTATCCTAAATTAATCTAGTCCCATTTGTCAGCATTTGGCGCCTATCCCTCTAAGCCCTTCCAATTCATGTACCCATGTCTTTTGGAGCCACAGTATTGATATTTATCATGGGCCAAAGGGCCTGTTCCTATGCGTTACAGTTCTGTGGCTGGTTCAGCTCAGTTTCTGATCAATGGTAGCCCCCAGGATGTTGACAGAAGGGGGGAAAAGACAGTAAACCTGGAAGCAGGAAACGCACCGAAACAGGGAAGTAGTCACGCATGTATCTCCACACTGCCCAGCTCCTGACCCACTGTGACCTCCGACCTCCTGGTGGAAAAGAGACAAAGAAGATTGGCTGACGATCGGGGAAAAAAAATGTTCCGATAGCTCCTAACGTGGCTCAGGAATCCACGGGAGGGGGGCAATCGGATTTGGTTGTGAGGCCTGCTGTAGTCGGATAGTCCGGCTTTCTTCACCCCCCCCCCCGCCTCCCCCATTCACGTCACAAGTCAGGATTGTTTTACCTCTTTCGGGGGTATTGTTGTCGATCGTTAGCCAAGCCAGGTAGAGAGCCGCAATGGGCCAAAAGCGAGTGAGAAGGAGGTACACAGTCAGGAGGCTGCCGAACACACCTAGAGAGAGAGAGAGATCAAAGACAGTCGCAGAGTTTTCAAGCAGAAATAGGCCATTCAGCCCATCGAATCTGCTCTGCTGTCCAATGGCTGATCTGATCATCCTCAACTTCCCCTCGATTCCCTTCCTGATTTAAAACAAAAATCTGTCTCAGCCTCAGATACACTTAATGACCCAACCTCGACAGCCCCCTGCGGTAAAGAATTCCACAGATTCATTTCCTTCAGAGAGAAGAAATTTCTCCTCGTCTCTGGGTGACCCCTTATTCTGAGATGATGTCCTCTGATCTAGACTCTCCCACAAGGGGAAACAACCTCTCTCTGTCTCCCTTGTCCAGTCCCCATAAGAATCTTATATGTTTCAATAAGGTTGCCTCTCATTCTTCTAAACTCCACCTCTCTGTCTGTCTCTCTCTCTCTGTCTGCCTGTCTTTCTCTCTCTCTCTCTGTCTCTCTCTCTCTCTGTCTGCCTGTCTTTCTCTCTCTCTCTCTGTGTCTCTGTCTCTCTCTCTCTCTCTCTGTCTTTCTCTCTCTCTCTCTCTGTGTCTGTGTCTCTGTCTCTCTCTCTCTCTCTGTGTCTCTGTCTCTCTCTCTCTGTCTGTCTTTCTCTCTCTCTGTGTCTATGTCTGTGTCTCTGTCTCTCTCTCTCTGTCTGTCCGTCTTGCTCTCTCTCTGTGTCTGTGTCTGTGTCTCTGTCTCTCTCTCTCTCTGTGTCTCTCTCTCTGTCTCTATTCCTCTGTCTATCCCTCTCCCTTTCTGTCTGTCAGTCTCCCTCTCTCTGTCTCTATGCCCCCTTCTCTCTCTCTATCCCTCTCCTCTCTCTCTAACCCTCTCTCTGTGTCTCTCTCTGTCTGTCTGTCTCTCTTTCCCTCTGTTTCTGTCTCTCCCTCTGTTTCTGTCTCTCTCTCTCTGTCTATCCCTCTCCCTATCTGTTTGTCTGTTTCTGTCTCTGTCTCTATCCTCTATGTCTCTGTATCTCTCTCCTCCCTCTCTACACCTTGCTCTGTTTCTCGCTCTGTCTCTCTCACTCGCTCTGTCTGTCTCTCTCACCTGCTTGGTCTGTCTGTCTCTCTTTCTCTCCCTGTTCCTCTCTCTGTCTATCTCTCTATCTGTCTCTAGCTCTTGCTCTTTCTGTCGCTCTCTCTGTGTCTAGCTCTTGCTGTGTCTTTCTCTCACTCTGTCCTCTCCATCCCTCTCTCTCTGTATCCCACTCCTCCCTCTCTATCCTTCTCTCCTATTTCTGTGTCTGTCTCCCTCCTCCCCCTCTCCCTCTTCTTCTCTCTCGCTCTCTGTCTCTCTCTCTCTTGCTCACTCTCACTCTACCTTGCTCTCTCTTTCTCATCTGTCTGTCTGCCTCTCTCCCCTCTTTAAAGATAACCTTTATCCACTGGCCTTTGGTCACTTGACTGATTATCTCTGCATCTGGTGGGTTATCTAGTGTTGCTTGAAAGCCCCTTGCGAGGCAAGGTGCAACTTAAATGCAGCTTGTGTGGGCATGGTAGTCGCTGTTGCGGTCGATCCCTAATGAGCAGGCCCCCCCTCGCCGCTGACCAGCCCCCCAGGCCGAGGGTAGAGGGGGTGGGGGCAAAGGAGGGGGCAATGTGTGATGGAGAGTGGAAGGGGGGGATATTCCTTATCCTCTGCCCGACACTGCCCTGTAGCTGAGCTCCCAGCACGCTCTGGGCTTGTCCCCAGTGGGGAGCTGGTCGTGGCCAATGGAGGCAGCGGTGCTTGATGGGTCAGGGAGGGGCAGTTGATGGGGGCAGAGGGGGGTAGGGGGTTTGGAGTAGGTTGAGGAAGTGTTGGTGTTGAGGGGGGCTGGTGTTGAGAAGGTTGAGGGTCTGAGAAGGGGGTTGAACTTGGGTTCTGCAGGACTCTTGTCGGGGGGGCTTAGCAGGGTTGTTAAGTCGAGAGAGTTTATAAGGCATTGAGGGACATTGGATTGAGGGGTTTTCTGAGGGGCAGCCGGTGTTGAGGAGGCATAATTGAGGTTGAGGGGTGTTGGTGTTGAGGGGAGTTAGTGGATCTGAAGAGGTTGAGGGTCTCCGGGGTTGTGGAGCTAAGGTTTGAGGTTCTAGGGGGTTTGAGTTTCAGGGGAGTTGAGGGTCTGGACGTTTGAGGGTCAGAGGGGGTGGAGACCCAGGAGTCTGAGTGGGTCTCCTCCCTGTACCGGGGCACAGCGAGGGTCCATGGGCACTTGGAGCTGTAAAGAACGAGCCTGACTCACCCAACAGCAGGAAGGTTAAAACCCACTGAAACACACTGAGGGTCTCCAATAGCCTTCGCAACATCATCCTGCAGTCACCACCGAAGCTCGTCAACAGGCCTGGGGAGAACGCAGAACAGAGAGTGTGACACGAGGAGAGTGTGAGTGTGTGAGCACACTGACGCTGACTGTTCTTTCTCTCTCTCTCTCACACTTGTTCTCTCTCTCACTGTCTCTCGCTCTCACATATACACACACACACATTCCCTGGTGATCTAGTGGTTAGGAATCTGCTTCAGGCTAGGTTTGATCCCTGGTTAGGGAATAGAAATTCTGTTGTACTAATTCACCTTGGGGTCAGTACTTGCTTATGGGTGGCACGGTGGCTCAGTGGTTAGCACCGCTGCCTCACAGTGCTAGGGACCTGGGTTTGATTCCAGCCTCAGGCGACCGTCTGTTGGGAGTTTGCACATTCCTTCCCTGTGTCTGTGAGGGTTTGCACTGGTTTCCTCCCACAGTCCAAAGGTTAGGGTGGGTTGGCCATGCTAAATTGCCCCCTAGTGTTCAGGGCTGTGTAAATTAGGTGGGTTTTAGGGGGATGGATCTGGGTGGGATGCTCTGAGAGTCGGTGTGGGCTTATTGGGCCGAAGGGCCTGTTTCCACACTGTAGGGATTCTATGATTTTTCTCCCTCACACATTCACTCTGTCTCTCTCTCACTCTCTCACTCTCGTTCTGTCTCTCGCTCTCGCCCTCTCTCCAGAAGACTGTTTAATCACGGACCTGCTAAAGGTGATGGGGAATGAGAGAATCCCTCTGTCCCAGTCTGGCCGTCGATCCAGTTAGATTTGCCCACGAGGAACACATTCCGAGGAATACTCAGCCCATCCCTGAACCTCACACTTTGCCCCGGGCTCCCAGAGATAACGTCTGCTCAAAATAAGATTACAGTTGATGTGGGACAGATTAAGGAAACTGTGCAAAGGTTACCACAGTGTGACAACATCCAAGCCGTTTGTACAGAAACGGTCTTACCAGCACAAAAGGAAGCCATTCGGGCCATCTGCAAGGGGCTAGCATTTACCTTTCCTGGTTCTATCATGGGTCGCTGGCTGGGGCAGCAATTTTTTAAAGTTGTCCCTAATTGCCCCCTTGAGAAGGTGTGGAATGCAGACTGTGCCGTTATGGAGGGAGCTCCAGGATTGCAAAAAAGAGAAGGACGGAGAGAGAAAACGAAAGGGTGGGGGGAAGGTGATAAAAGGGAAGAGAAAGAGAACAAGAGGGAGAGAGGAAGAGAATAATAGAAAGGGAGGGAAAAAGAGGCAGAGATTAAACGAAACAGAGAGATAGGGGAAAAAGGAAGAGAATGAGAACAAGAGGGAGAGAGAGAAAGGAAGAGAGGGAAAACGAAGAAGAGAGAAAATGAAACAGAAACTCGGAAAAGGGAAGTGGAAGTGAACAAGATGGAGAGGGAGAAAACGAAAGCAAGAAAGAGAAAACGAAAGGGAAGGGGAGTGAAACAGGGAAAAAGAGGAAATGAGAGAGGGAGAAACAGAGAGAGCAAGCGAGAGGGAAAAACAGAATTAGAGGGAGGGAGAGAAAAAAAGAGGAGGGAGAAAAAGGAAGGGAGGAGGAGACACAGAGAAACGGCGATGTGTTTGCATTGTGAATGGGAGGGGAGCATGCAGGGGGACTGGTGTTCCCATCTATCTGCTGGCCTTGTCCTTTCTAAATGGAAGTGGGGCTTATAAGTTGGGAAGTTCCAAACAAGGGATGTAAAGGTTGCTAATATTTGAGAGCACTACCACGGGGCCGTGAGGAGAGAATTCAGGGATCCCGGAAGCTCTCAGGAAGGCTAACGTAGGCATGCAGGTTGAAACTGGGGATGGGTTGACAATTGGAGTGACACAGAATGTCATCGGATGTACAAGGATGAAATGGTTGGTGGGAGTGTGGTTGTTGTGCGGCCACAGGGTGACAATACTGTGGCTTTGAGAGGTGTGTTCTTTTCTGGGCTTTTTTTTAATGAAGAGAGGTTGGGACGGGGTGTGGTTTGGGGTTGAATGGGCGGTCTCTTCTAAGTCAACAAAGTAATCCGCTTGTGAGAAACTTGGGAGTTTTTTTTAAAAAGTTGGAACAATAGAAGCAGCCTGAATGGGTGGAGTCAAGCTCCCACATAACCAAGATTTTTTTAAAATTTAACTTTCAGTAGCTGTTGGGGGCTTTGGAAACTGCTATACACCTCTCCCTGCTACAGCAAAGCACTTGAATTCTCTCTCTCACAATGCGTTTTATGTCCTGAACTGGAGAACTGCCGTTGGGACAATCTATTTTTACTGAATTTGCCTTTGCCAAGGGTGTGTTCGTGGGATGTTACCATGTTGGAACCATTACTGTTTAGTAGTTAAATAATCTATTATTCTGTTAAGTTTTCCAATAGAGTTCAGTTATTCCAACGTCTCCTTACTTTTCTTTGTATTTTAATTATAGTTCAAGAATAACGTGTGTTTTGCTTCAAGCCTGGGGGTTTGGCCAGTCGAATTGCATCCAGAGCGCAACACCTCACACCTGCCTTTAGAAATAAGAAAAAGTTGGGGTCTCAGCTATCTTCTTAATATATTTTGAGGGTTCCATCCATAACAAGATGAAGGGGGATGGAGGGTGTTATTGGACGTACAAAGTGGGGGTGGAGAGGATGGAGTTAAGGTAGAGGTGAAAAGGCCAGTGAGATAGAAGAGTGGGAAGGGCTTTTTTTTGCCTCTAACCAATATCCCAGGTCTTCCCATCCTTTTGTGGATTTGGCGGAGATGGCAGCCATCTTGAATTCCGTTTACTTGCCCGAACAGCCCCCAATTTGGGGCATATGTCAAACGTCCTGCCATAGAGGAATCTCTGAAACCCCTACTATCCCACCCTCTCCACCGCACACAGACGCATCCCACTCCCTTCATCTCATTGTAATGTTTGCTCAGGTCTCTTTCCCCTCGACTATGACAATATTCTCCTTAACTACTCGCCATGGGAACTACACTGTCTCTGGATAAATATTTTTCTTGCCAACGATTCTCCACTGGGACCATTAGTGACGATCTTAGTTACCATCTCTAGTTCCATCAAAACCCAAAACACCTTCTCTACATTGACCCCTCTGTCATGACTCAGTCAGGGTCTCTCCCAGTCCTATATTCTCCGACCACACAGCGTTCCAGGCAAGACAATTATCCTCTTGGAATTAGACCCCCTCAGTATCCCCCCTTGCTTCTTTATCCCTCCTGAAAAATGGGGACCTGATCCAGAAACATATTGAATTACTGACACACTCTCCCCGGGGACGCCCTGTAAATATTGACTCTCCCTTCCCCAGGGACACCCTGCAAGTACTGACATAATGAATAATACATCACTTGACGATATATTTTCAACTCAGGACGGTGAGTGGCTCAGAGGGGAACTTGCAAGGGGCTGGTGTTCCCATGTATCTGTTGCCCTTGTCCTTCCAGATGGAAGTGGTCCTGAGAGACTAAGGATCTTTGGTGAATTTCTGTAGTGCACCTTGTAGATGGTACACACTGCTGCGACTGAGCGTGAGCAGTGGACGGAGAGGATGTTTGTGGATGTGGTGCCAATCAAGCGGGGTCTGCTTTGCCCTGGGTGGTGTCGTGCTTCTCGAGTGTTGTTGGAGCTGCCCCCATCCAGGGCAAGTGGGGAGTATTCCCACACACTCCTGGCTTGTGCCTTGTCAATGGTGGACAGGGAGTCAGGAGGTGAGTTACTGGCCCTGATATTCCCAGCCTCTGACCCGCTCTTGTAGCCACTCCATTTGTGTGGCGAGTCCAGTTCAGTTTCTGGTCAGTGGGATGTTGATGGTGGGGGATTCAGTGATGGTAACAGCATTGAATGTCAAGGGATGGTGGTTAGATTGCCTCTTATTGGTGATGGTCATAGCCTGGCATTTGTGTGGCACGAATGTTACTTGCCACTTGTCAGCCCAAGCCTGGATATTGTCCAGATCTTGTTGCATGTGAACATGGACTGCTTCAGTATCTGATGAGTCGCGAATGGTGCTGAACATTGTGCGATCATCAGTGAACATCCCCACTTCTGACCTTATGATGGAGGGAAGATCATTGATGAAGCAGCTGAAGATGGTTGGGCCTAGGGCACTACCCTGAGGAGCCAGGAGTCTTGCGGCTCATTGGTAATGTCCCTACCTACGAGCCAGGAGTTAGTTTGAGTCCCACCTGCTCCAGAGATGTGTCTACCATACCATACACTGAGGAGCTCCTGCAGAGATGCCCTGGAGCTGAGATGACTGACCTCTGACAAACACGACCAGCTTCGTATTTGCCAGGTATGACTCCAGGATAGTTTGCCTCTGATACCCATGGACTCCAGGTTTGCTCAGGTTCCTTGATGCCACACTTAGTCGAATGCAGCCTCGATGTCAAGGGCTGTCACCCTCACTCAAAGTGTCATATGCTTCTGTTCACATCTTCCTCATAACATCCCAACAGCCCATTCATCAACACCTTTGCTCGTCCTGTAATTAGCCAAATGCCCTTTAAACACTGTTCATCTCATGCCATCCCTAGTGGAATACGTTCCACATTCACCTCGGAATAAATATTTTTTTCTCAAGCTCTCTGTTCGGTTCATTAAAGATTATTTTACATTGATTGGCCACTTGCCATTAAGATCTGGAACATCTCTAGTTGCTACACCCTTTGTTCTTTTACTTTCCAGGAAACAAACAGCCCCACACTGTTCCAGTCAGTCAGTTTCACTCTGTCAGTTTCGGGAATAATTTACCTACTGACGCAATCCACTCACCTCCGGGTACCCCTGTAAATACTGACGTACTCCCTTCTCCCCTCCCCCAGGGAACCGCCCCCCCCCCCCCCCCCCGTAAATACTGACACACGCCCCCTCCCCAGGGACCCCCTGTAAATACTGACACACTCCCCCCCTCCCTTGGGACACCTCCTGCAAATACTGACACACACCCTTCCGCCATCGCCCACCCACATCCCCAGGACCCCCTGTCGATAAAATTATGAGGGGCATAGATAAGGTGGATTGTCAGAGTCTCTTTCCCCACGGTGGAAATATAAAATACCAGGGGAGGTAGGTTTAAGATGAGAGGGGGGAAAGTTTAAAGGAGGTGTGCGAGGCAATTTTTTCACACAGAGGGTGATTGGTGCCTGGAAGGTGCTGCCAGGGGAGGTGTTAGGAGCAGATATAATAGCAACGTTTATGAGGTATTCAGACAGACACATGAAGAGGCAGGGAAGAGAGGGATCTGCACCATCTGCAGGCGGATGGGATTAGTTTACCATAGCATCGTGGTCCGTATAGACCTGGTGGGCCGAAGGGCCTGTTCCTGTGCTGTATTGTTCAATGTTCTTTGACAAGGTCCCTCATGGTAGGCTGGTCCAGAAGTATAAGTCACATAGGATCCACAGTGACTTGGTCATTTGGATACAAAATTGGCTTGGGCGTAGAAGACAGAGTGTGGCAATGAATGGGTGATGTTTTAACTGGGGCTCTGTGACCAGTGGTGTTCCGCAGGGATTGGTGCTGGGACCCGTGTTGTTCATTATATATATATATAAAATGCAGCTGGTTTGATCAGTAAATTTGCGGACGACGTGAGATGGTGGGGATGTGGATAGTGAGGAATGTTGTCAAAGGATACAGCAGGATATAGACCAGCTTGAAAGTTGGGTGGAGAAATTGCCAGATGCAGTTTAATCCTGGCAAGTCATAGAAACGTACAGCACGGAAACAGACCCTTCGGTCCAACTCGTCCATGCCAACCTGATATCCTAAATTAATCTAGTTCCAGCATTTTGGCCCATATCCTTCTAAACCCTTCCTATTCGTGTACCCATCCAGATGCCTTTTAAATGTTGTGATTGTACGAGCCTCCACCACATCGTCTGGCAGCTCGTTCCATACACACACCATCCTCTGCGTGAAAAAGTTGCCCCTTAGGTCCCTTTTAAATCTTTCCCCTCTCACCTTAAACCTACGGCCTCTAGTTTGGGACTCCCCTACCCGAGGGGGAGAACCACTTACCCTATCTATGCCCGTCATGATTTTAGAAACTTCTATAACTCACCCCACGCTCCGGGGAAAATAGCCTCAGCCTATTCAGCCTCTCTCTCTATAGCTCAAACCTTCCAACCCTGGCAACATCTTTTCTTCACCCTTTCAAGTTTATCAACATCTTTCTTATAGCAGGGTGACCAGAATTGAACTAGAAGTG